CCACACATGTGCAGAGTATTCGAGAGTTTTACTACANTTTCAAATGAATGAATGAAGTTATTATTATTATTATTATCGTTCATTGAAAAACAACGATAATCATAATTTGGTGGGTGGTGGTAATCAAAAGAAATGATATTGAACATCGACAAAGTCTTTAGGAGACTCTGTTGATTACAAGAATACAAGATGGAAGATTCATCGCGTTTCACCTATTCTGAAAAATGGCGACAATTATACAAAATTATCGAGAAATCTCAATTTCAGGTGCATTATCTAAACTATTTGAGATAATTTTGTACGATTCCTTTCATGATTCAACTGAAAACATGATATTTGAGAAACAACATGGTTTTTCAGATGAAAAATATTGTAAAAAAAACTTTCTTGTATATCCCAGTATGTTTGCGAAGTATTCGAAGGAAGAGATCAGATAAATGTAATTTACATGGGTATTTCCAAAAGTGTTGATGAAATCGACATATTGATTTTTTCAATAAATTTAAGTGCTATTGGTTTCACCGATGTCGTATCAATTTGGTAAGAAATATATGTTTCTCTCATTATCAGAACCCAAGGATCATACTTGAGACCGTTGTTTTTATGAATAATATCATGATGAAAATAGATTCGTTTAAATACATGAAATAATTTTACCAACATTTGCCGGAAATCAAGTATTACCTCCTGTAATAGCACGCCGTATATCAAAACACATTCGATTTTTCTTTGCGCAATTTTCCCCAAAGAGAAAATTCTTGCACATATTACTGGTTTGTAAACATCTCTGTAATCAGTACAATTATCACCTGAAGACTAGTTTTGAAGTATTTACTGACTAGCTCATACCAAAATAACATTTGGGCAATATAAGAACATATGCTTCCACGACCAGAGTCACAAAATTCGGGCTGGTGGACCATAGTTGAATGTAGTAACAAACGCTTCGACTGCTACTGTGATAGACATCATCAGTGGTAATACATCGACTACGATTACTCGAATTATATTTCGAAGTCAACCACTGATGATGTCTACCGCCAACAAAACGTCGATGGAACTACAAGTTCCATCGACCACGGCCTACCAACACGGAGCTGTCTTGCATTCCCATTAATTTCATTGAATCTCTCGTTACGTAGAGCATGCGTTTGTTAATGAAGCAGTTCAACTGTTTTTGTATGTGAACAAAGACTCAGGTAACCGAGTAGAAGAATGGAAGACGAAATAATGTTTACGAATAGGAGAACTATGATGATTCCAAAAGTAGCAATGAGTACAGCCTATACGATTTTCAATAAATTCTGTAGATCGAGTGCTGCAAAAGGCTTATCAACTAACATAATGAAACTGATATCATTTCATTCATGCATTTTCATTGACTTGTCGAAAACATGCGATACAGTTGACTACAACCTTTTACTGAAAACACTAGAAGATATTGGTATGAGAGGTGATGCTCTGAACTTGTTCAAGACCTATCTTACTGATAGATTTCAGTGTGTGAGAATTGATGACATTTTGAGTGATACACAAAAAATTATAAGATTCCCCCAAGGTACAGTTCTGGGGCCAATTTTCTTCAACATATATGTTAATAGACTATATTCCATCAGGAGTAAAAGTGAAATACTAGGCTTCGCAGAAGATACAGCCATTTTTTACAAGGCAAACTGAGAGCAACTGTAACATGTAGTTAGATCGGATCTGGTTTTGATAAAAAAAAATTATTCACTTCGGGAAAGTATACCTACCCCTTTCAATTCAAGCAAGATTCCTATGGCTGAGCTTGAATTAAATAAGCGGAGGAATGTAATTAATACTGGTGATTGCTTTCCACGATTTTTATGAAGAGATAGAGAAGTAGAAAGCCAAAAGCTGTTTTTAAGAAAATAAATATTTTTCAAACTTCAAAAGTTCGATATCTAGAAGATTGCCAAAGCACCCAAAGAAATGTCAAAATCATATTTGAATGGTGATGTAGCAATAATTTCAAACTTAATGCAAAAATACCATGAAATAACTTTCACAAAAAAAATTATCTCTTTGATATTTGACTATAAAATAGAATGAACCCAACTAAGCAGATTCCAAAGATTTCGGGGTTACATTCGATAAGAAACGCTGATCATGTGAGACAAGCTGTGTTGTCAGAATCCTTGGCTTCATGATAAGAAATAGCAAGGATATTGGCATATGTCAGGTCAAAATCAGAATATGGCATACTTCTGTGGTGTCCTTCATATGCCAATTACTCATATATGTATGCCAATCACCCAGCGGAACTTTCTGAAATTCATTCAGTCCATTCTGTTTGGTATATATCCTGGGAGAGGAATCCCTTATAGTCAATTACTCGAAGAATTGAAGTCCGTTAGTTCAAGTACCAGACGACTAATTTCAACAATGACATTTTTCTTCAATCTGTTAAATAACAAAATTGACTGTGCGTACACATTTATTATCAAAAATCCCTTTTGTGTTCCTTGCCATAACACTGAATATAAAATAACATCATACTTATATTCTGCAAGAATAAACATTGCATTCGAATCACCTGTCACGAGTTGCTGCAAAAAGTTTAATACTGTGATATCCATTATTCATCTCTTAATGATAATCGCCGCTGAATTTTATCCAACGTGACCCGTTAATGTTCTTTTTTTACGTCACATAAATGGACTATATTGTATCTGCCAATGTCCTCTCTCTCATAAAACAAAATTTAGGGTATCTCCAAGGGCTCCAATAAATTCAATACATCGCCAGAACACTTCGTGACACGACTATCGTCAAACTTAAACCAGTCCGTTTCGTCTTTGACCAAGGCGTAATAATGAGCAAATTCAACGCCAGAACCACAGTAAACAATGACTGCATCAATATTATAATAATTGTCTGCTAGATTGAAGTGTTCATCTATTTCGAACCTTCGTAAGAGTTTGATGCTTACGTCAGAGGTTGAATCATCTTTGAAGATCATCAGTGTTATTATTAGAATAACTGGTGTCTCAGTTATACTTGTTTCTTAATAACAGTCAGTTAGCTTGGTGCATGTTTGGCAATGTAGTCGATCATCGCATGTTAAAAGTTCCATTTTCAGATGATTTAACAATAAGCTTTGCTCGGACTCGTCATATTAGGAAATGCTATTTGGAGTTCCAGAAATTCACATTCATTTTTGCTACCTCTTGAATATTTACTACAAAGTAAATAAGAGAGGATTTTTCCAGAAAAGATTCACAAAAAATTCATAACATCATACTTACATTCTGCAAGAATTAACATTCCATTCAAGTCACCAGCCACGATTTACTGCAAACATTTTAATACTGTGATATGATATCCATTATTCATCTCTTAATGATAATCGCCGCTAAATGTTATCCAACATACTCCGTTGATGTTCTTTTTAACCTCACATAAATGGACTATATTATATTATGAAATTAATAATCGTTTAATCACAATTAGAGAAGTTGCTGAGGATGTAGGTATATGCAGACTCATGCCATTCAAGTTTTTTGTGAAATTTGGGCATGAAGCGTGTTACAGCGAAGCTTGTTTGAAAATTGTTGAATTTGATACGAAAAAACGTCGCACGAACATCGCTCAGGAATTTTTGAATGACGTCAGTGACCCGTCATTGGGTCATAACTGGTACAGAATCATGGGTATATGGTTAGGGCGTCGAAACCAAACTCCAATCGTCACGATGGAAGAGCCCAGGAGAGTCAAGACCAAAAAAAGCATCCAAAGTTTCATCGAATATCAAGATTTGGCTCAGTGTTTTCTCCGATTACCATGGCGTAGTACATCAGTGCACATGGTCGAATGGTCAATAAGGAGTATTACTTTGAAGTTAGACTTCGCCTGCGAGAAGAGATACACAGAAAACGTCGGGCATTGTGGAAGAACAATTCATGGCTTCTGCTTCACGTTAATGCACCTAATCACATTGATTATTCGTTATTTTTCGGCTGATAACACCGTAATCATGTATCAGCCACTGTATTTACCAGATTCAGCCCCCTGCGTATTTGTTCTGTTCCCAAGATGGAAGAGATAACCGGAGGACGGCGGATTCCGATGATTGAGGAGATGAAATCCAAATCGCTGAGGAAACTTCAGGACATACCAAAAAGTACATATCAGAACTGCTCCGAGGTTTGGAAAAAACCCTGGCACAAGTGTATTATATCTAGGGGGGACTATAGGAAGGGGACTAAACATATGTTTTTTAGAAAAACGAAAATCCAACAAATTTTTTGATAAGAAAGCGTATATGTTTTCTGCTGTGGTGCCAATTAAGACGCCACTACAATCTAGTTGGGGCTACAAAAGCTCCTTATCACTTCGAATAAATTCCCAAATTTCAGCCAAAACGTATTGATGTTTTTTTTCAACTTAAACGTCCTGTATCTCAGAAATGAAGTAACTTTGGAATATGTTCAAATTATTTTTTTCTTAAAACAGGCTAACAAGTCATTCTCTGGAATCTAGTACTGTAGTTAGGAAATAAGTATACCTCATTCAGTAAGCATAATATTCAAGACTATATTTGATGGTCCTAGTAGAAAATAATAATGAAGGTAGACATAAAAAATGTTCCAAAAATTTCGAATGAGAGATAATGCCTTATTTTTTAAGACATAAATTGATGTGCCGATTTTCAGTGCAAAAGAGAACATACTCATTTTGCAAAATTTTAAAAGCACATATTACAGTGAAAGTATTGAAGAATAATGATAAAGGACCCATTTTATTACTCCAATATGTTGTATCTGTTTCAGTTTCGTTTTCTTGATTCAAACATATTTGAATATGCATCTCCTCTTCATTGAGATACGATATTGTGTATTGAGAATTATGTCAGAAAGTATGTTACACTCATATGAAACAAATTAGTTCAAATCTGTTTTAAAAAAGTTCCAACGCAGATAGTCTTCAACATTCTGAAACGGAACAAAATATTGTACAATCAACATATCGTTTTTCAGGTCATACAACAGTTGCTGTGAAGACACTGAAGGATGATGCGAGAGAATCGGAACTCAATGACCTCCTCTCCGAATATCAACTACTCAAAGAAGTCTCTCACCCTAATGTGATTCGACTTCTAGGAGTTTGCACTGAACCAGAAGGACCCGTGTATCTCATTATAGAATATGCAGAGCATGGATCACTGAGGTGAGTCGAAAAATGAAAAATAATTCCGACTGAAAAAAATTACCGATATTTGTGTATTTTACTACTTCGAAACATTACTAGAACCATAACTGATTTTTTCTTCCTCCCATGTCTTCACGGCACCCACTTCAACGATTTTGTTTTCTCAACTAGTTTATCACTTTCTTTGTTGAATGTTGTCATATTCTTCTGGATATAATTTGGTTTTCCATCGACTGATTGTCTTCTGTGATTCAGTGCCTGTCATTTGTATGAAATATGGCAAATTGTCTCTGTCACTATGTTATAGTGTCGGCAGTTGAGGTATCCTTTTCTACAATCCCATTTGATTTGAGTGACTACCTAATGGACAGTGTCCAGAGTGAGTATAACTAGGTGAAGTAAATTGATTCTTCATCGAATCAGTTCTCTAGCACTTTTCCAGTCGGTGTCTATCAATATTTTTCCGTGTGCATTACATTTCCTGATGTGGTTCCGTACCAGTCTCGTTGTCTCCCTCGGGTTCATCATTACCCCCTGTGCTTGACATTGATACTTCTTGCGATCGATTGGCAAAATTGTTCGCGGTGACTGAAGATTATTTCTACCTCAAAATATAATTTTAACGGTACGAAAATGCATTGAAACCTGTCCTCCAAATACCTCCGATCATTCACTGATTCAGATAGCATTTCAGATACTCCTTTCGAACGTATCAGTCTTCTTTATCCGTTGGTTTCGCTTTATATGAATAATTTGGATGTTTTCGTTTGTATAATCATACAGTACAGTCATAAATTGAGTATCAAGCATGAGATGTAAGATGCAGGAGTAATAAACCAGAGACTGTATGAAGGAGCAAATATCAAGGTTTTGGAGTCTTACCAATGAGATCAAGCTAGATGAAGATTTCTGAAAATTAAGATACATCAAAATTGATCTGCAAAGGGTGAAGTGAAACAGGCCATTTAGTTCTTATTTTTGTGCATATCTCTCTAACAGTAATGATATTAAATTGTTAGATGTAGCCGTTACTACGTGGTAGGAAATCATGATAAAGAAATGATAATTAAAACTTTCTATGTTTTTAGCCACTTTTATTTGTAACTAATGTTACTGCAGTTTCGTCCTATAAGGACATTTTCAAACTTATACAAACTCATTATATATTTTCAAACTCATACAATAAATTTGATCGTTATCGGCAGTAGGATCTAACGATGCTTGTCTTCAGTTACGGTCCAAGCATGATGTGATTTCACTGTTTTCTCTTTGACTGCAGCTGATGAAAGTAATCAGCAAATAACTCAAATAAACAAAATTGATGGTGGAGATATATGATCAAGGTTTGTTGTGAGTTCAGTGATGTACTATTATTTACTTTAACTGAGTTAGCTAGTGGAAGAATTATTGAATTTAGAATGAATAAACAAATTGGGTGGAAAGTTTTTTTAGAAGAACCAACCATCGCAGGTAAGATTTTTTTCAATTTTCAGAAACTATCTGCGGCGTAGCAGAAAACTCCAACAAGATTTCATCAATGACAAGTCACCACTAGCCCCGAAGGAAAATGATGAATTCAATTACGATGAACCAAAAACCAGTGACATCACGCCAAATACTCTTCTTTCTTTTGCATGGCAAATATCTAATGGGATGGCATATCTTAGTGATATAAAAGTAATTTAAAATACCAAAACATTAGTTTCAAGGAGTTGAAAGTTTTCTGTTTCAGTTAGTACATAGAGACTTGGCTGCAAGGAACGTATTATTAGCTGCCGACAAAGTATGCAAAATATCTGATTTTGGTTTAACTCGAGATGTTTATGAAGATAATGCTTATTTGAAACGGAGCAAAGGAAGAGGTGAGATTTATGGATTGTAATTGAATCATGATGTAGCTTAGGATACATGATTTCCGAACCCATTGATTCCACGGTGTATGGTGTAGTCATCAGTTGATGATATTGTCGTACCCTCACGAGTGTAACCTTCGGGAAAAAAAATATCCATTTCAGGAATTCAGTCCATAAAAAATACGAGCAAACAAAAAATTTTTTAATGAATAAGAAATAATTCCACAAGATTGTCATCTGTTTTCAGAAGTGAAAGGTACAAGGAATATGGACTCAATGAAATACATACACAATGCCCTACTCCAAACACCAACCTCTCACACACAGAAATATATTGTGTCAGAGACATTGCTCTAGAACTAATGAAATCATCAAATTATCTACAGGCCAGTCTCAACTTACCTACACTGTGTGTTAATGAACTGACAGCTATCAGAAAACAATTAGTCCCCTGGCTAACACCAAGAAGGGCGTTGGATTATATCCTGCACATGATGTAGGCGATGCAACGGCCGAAATCGATTTTCAAGACTGGCTGTAAATCTAATTATCTACAAGAACAATTCGTTCAGGCCAGTTTCAACTTACCTACACTACATAATACACACAATACAGACAATATAATCCACCGCCCTTCGTGGAATTAGCCAGGGAAGTAGTTGTTTTCTGATAAGTGTCAGTCCATCAACCTACACTGTAGATAAGTTGAGACTGGCCTGAATGAATTGTTCTGGGAGATAATTTTATTTATAGCCAGTCTTCAAGAATGCCTACTCAATGTATTGAAATTATATTTGAAAAATGAAGATCATCGTGGAAATATTATGTCAGTTGATAACCATTGAGTTAGGTGTTCCTAGAATTCAGTACTGAAACCCTATTAATTTTTGATATATACCTACTGATGACCTGATGGAATATTTTCTAGGGTTACCAGCGATTCATACAGTAAATTATGCAGATGAACCTAATTTTATAGTTGTAGGCTTTTTGGGAAGTGTATGGATAAGTGAAAATATGGGGATAAACCATCACTTAACACATTCAAAAGAGCATTGATGAAGTTCACAATCAATAATATTTTGTTATCTTTAAAAAAGAGGATATGTACAACTTGAATATTGTGTTTCTATAAAAATGTTAGTTACCATATTGGACTACAAAGTCCTCAGATTGGGAAAAAAAATACTATATTTTGTGATTTATATCTAGTTCATGTATAAGACATTTTACTGAGTTTGCATTATGCGATCATAAACTGTGACGATGAGGAATTTTGAATTGAGGAACCGAGATTGAAAAAGTTCAGCATGGAGAAAACTGCTGCACAAATGATGATATTTCGATATTTTTGTTTGATAGGCTTGTTTTGATATGAGTTCTATATTGGAAATAGAAATTCATTAAAGTCTAGTAAGTAAGGTCTACTTAATGTTCTTTGATATTTCTATGTATCCCGAGTTTCCATCAATCTTAGTAATTTCTTAAAAAAAAACTTATGATAAGTTGCATATTCATGTAGTATTGCCTGATTATTTATCCTACGTTTATTTGAAAATGAAGAAACGAAAAAAAAAATATGGAGAAAAATGTAACACTTTTATTTTTCAATCATTGAAGGTATCTTTGAGTAATGCATAAATAGAAATGTGATCTTAGTATGCACTTCACTGACTCTGGTATTGGAAGAACTGGCTCAGACTATGTAATTTTGGGGAAATAAGCACTGTAGCAACCGATACGTGCCACAATTATAAGATTAGATTCTACAAGACATGATCTATGGCCCGAGGACGAGACGAGAACGAACCAGAAGAAAGATGATGATATGAAGGTGTTTCGAAGCTGACTCAAGAACTGAGTTCGACCTGATTGGAGCAAAAGAGATACACCGAAGTGAAAAAGCAAACATCAGAAATATTCTGAACCAACTCTGTGGGAGTCAACCAGGAGAACATATCAACATCGCTTTGGTCTGAGTTTCACCTTCTGGATCAACTATCGCCGTGTCGTGAAAAGAGCTCAGAATGGTCTTGTTGAAGGAACTGGAATACGGAGAAAAATATCACCTACGGCACCTACGGACTATAAGCAATTGGAAGGAGCGGTGGCTTGGAAAGAAAGTAGGAGAAATTACTGAGAGAAAGGCGTTAAACAGGACATAGTATTTTGAAGAGAGAGGTAGTGTCACGCTATTGAATGTTGCATTCCACACTGGGAATGAGTAATTTGAAAACAGATGTAGGCGAATTATTCTGCAGTTAGTACCAATTGTACAAAACACTCATAATGAATATACCAGAAAGTTCATTCTGTTACATAGTGAATGAAGTCGAAGACGAGTTATGGGGCAAAATTAAGATTGAATCATCTGACTAAAGGAACAATTTTACAATTAGGATTTGCTGTGGAAATAAATTGTGGAATAAGTGAATGAATTGAAAGTATGATTGAAGATGAACTGAACTCTGGAACTCTGGGTTATTGATGAAGTTGTTGGTTGAGTGACACAAGGGTAACATAATTCAAAAAATGAGCATAGAAATTAAATATAGTTGTTGGAATACATAGTGCCTAAATATTGATGTGTCAAATCCGATAGAGATAGGTAAGGTTAGCTAGTTTGATTTCCTGGTTTGATCTGTTTTGAAAGCTGATTTCACTACTTTCATCTCACCAAAAAACAGAATACATTTTCCAGTATGTTACATACACTATTTCCAAAAAATATTCAATTGATTTGTTTTTCTAAAATCATTCGCAGTTCCTGTAAAATGGATGGCCCCAGAATCTTTAGCTGACCACATTTATACTACAAAGTCAGATGTTTGGAGCTTTGGTGTTTTGGTTTGGGAACTAGTGACTTTGGGTGCAACTCCTTATCCCGGAATCGCCGTTCAGAATCTGTACCACCTCCTGCGTCAGGGTTATCGGATGGAAAGACCCAATAACTGCTCGCCAGCATTGTAAGTAAAGTTGTCGAATCCACTTTGAGTATATCTTGTAATTATTTTCAATGATGATGAATATCAATAATATATTACTGAAGAAAATATCATTGAATGTATTTTATTCAGTGAACAAATTCAAACTCTCAACTCTAAGCAATGAGTTAATTGTATTGAACAAGGAAAATACATTATTGAAATGGGTAATTCCCATCAACTTGATACAAAGTATTCAGCAGTAGGAAAAATGAAGTGTAAGAAAAGATACATCTCCAAGTGTATCAAGCGAAAAAGCTTGAAAACAACTTCACAAAAAACAATTATGTCAAATTGCAATTCATTAATTTCGGTTCAGAAATTAGGTCTGCAATATGAACAAGACAAAATTCACATTCAGAGAACTTGTTAGTTATGGAAAATTTTGAAAGTTATGAATTGGGAAATAATAGCAAGTGCATCAAATACTCTTTGAGACATCAGACTTCAATTCATCATACTTCTCATTTCAACTGCCGATATTGTAAGGCAGGTTCAAAAAATGGGATTCACCATTGATTTATGAGGAAAAATTACACTTGTATCACCTTTTCCTAACCATCATTAATCTCTCAATATTGAGAGATTATTTTTCAGTTTCCTTATAGCTCATGTACGGTACATTACATGTATTGTTACTTGGTGTATCACTCAGTATCTCTCCATGATAGAGTCTTCAGATTTCCTTTGATTTCTGTTAAAGTACTGGTAAATGAGATGTTTCTTCTCCTTTGATCATGAGATGGAGCTGTTACTAGTTAACAACTCTTTCTTTCAGACGAGGGTTTCATACATGCAGCCACGCTGAAGTCAGTCGAGTTTCATGTAAACTGATGTTTGGGTCGGACTTTTCCACCACTGATGAGAGGTAATACTCTCCGTTTTCGATTATTTCAGCGTGGCCTAGCTGCTAGATGAACGAGAAACATTATTCAATGTCCAGCGTAGTATTAGCCAGGAAAGTAGTTGTTTTCTAGTAGACATATATCAGAACCTACTGTGTAGGTACGTTGGAATGTATGAATGTTTGAAAATTCCATTTCGGAATAATTATTTTCTCATTATTTTTGTTTGAAGTTGAGAATCTGACGAACATTTTTTGGCGTACTTCCGTATTATAAATTCATACAATTTTTTGAGGTACAAAATAATGAGACACTGCTGGCAAATAGACCCGGAGAAGAGACCTACATTCCAAGAGTTGAGCAAATGTTGGGAGAGACTTCTAGAAGACAAAATGGAATACATAAATCTGTCCAGTAATGCAATACATAACAGAGGATACTTTCTCTCTCCATTCGAAGAAGGTAACTATCAGTATAGCTTCATGACATGATACAGATCAAAATGAAGGGAAACTTGATTTTGTTCTCCTCAATATATCTTTATGAGTTGGAATAATATATATTTCAGTCTATTGTGTTGATCTTATATAATTTTCTAAAAAACAAATCATTTTTTGCGAGATTATATATTTTCATGTATCACCAACGATTGCTTGTGCAGTATATCTAAACACGAATAAAGAGTTATGTTTAATAATAACAATGAATCATGTCCTGGGTTTGGTTAAAGCATTATGAATGCGGAAAGCCTCTAATTGGCTACACCCATCCAGCAACGTTCATATTCATCAGTTCCAGCCATCCGACCGCCCGAAACTGATTCCTGAACTCAGTGCCTGTTCTAGTAGTCGTTTTGTAATGGCTAGCTTGCCAAACGTGTGTTCGCATGTCTATTATCTGAGGAGCAGGCCAACCTCGAACCGGATGCACATCCAGGCATCTACCCACCTGAATCTGCATTTTGAACCATTCATCACTACCATACTCTGCCTTGTTCATGTGGTCGCGGTCCGACCTCACCCTCAGAGTCACTCTATATGCTATATTCGGGCGAATCACTCCTTCTATATTCATAGGCGTTTCAAAAGGCTCGATGAATGCCTATTTTCTAAAGAACCGAACTCAGCTGCGATATCTTTGTGAGGGTCAAGGAAGCATGTCCATTTTGGGGGATTTGTCTTCTAGCTTAATGTTCAGTGTTGAGCTCCATAGAGAAGATCTGAGTTTCTCTACATTGTCCTCGTAATTTTCCGCACCTCTGATTCATTTCCTAACCTATTAATCGATTATGCCATACCAGGCATTTGTTAATCGAAGTTTGGACAACAAATATTTCCTTTTCGCGTTTTCTCTAACTAAATTAGTGCCATTGACTCCCGAAAACTCCCAAAAAACGTCTCGTTGAGACCATGGGAGAAGGGCTTCGAATGACAGATTTGAAAGTTGATTCGAAACCCATCTCAAGCTCACGAAAACCATCGAGTCTTTGGTATGATATTCCCTTGAAATACCAGTTCGTTATAGGGAACGCTTTTTTCCGACTCCTGCCGGAGACTCCGAATAGTGTTGAAACTATGGAAATCTTCCAAAGAAAGGAAGGAAACAATCAATTTCAATTTTTCAATTTCCAGACTAAGATGTGTAGATTATGCAAAAGAGCAACTTTCAGATACGAACATTTATGAAAACAGCTTTTACTTTCAGTTTGTACCTGAAAGTTACTTCTTTGCATGATATTTACATCTTTGTATAGAGTTAATTTCTGAATTAATGCTTCATTCCTTTCTTTGAAAATTCAATACATCGCCAGAACACTTCGTGACACGACTATCGTCAAACTTAAACCAGTCCGTTTCGTCTTTGACCAAGGCGTAATAATGACCAAAATCAACGCCTGAACCACAGTGAACAATGACTGCATCAATATTATAATAATTGTCTGCAAGATTGAAGTGTTCATCTATTTCGAACCTTCGTAAGAGTTTGATGCTTACGTCAGAGGTTGAATCATGTTTGAAGATCATCAGTGTTATTATTAGAATAACTGGTGTCTCAGTTATACTTGTTTCTTCATAACAGTCAGTTAGTTTGGCGCATGTTTGGCAATATAGTCGATCATTGCATGTTAAAAGTTCCATTTTCAGATGATTTAACAATAAGCTTTGCACGGACTGGTTATTAGTCATATTAGGGAACGCTAGTTGAAGTTCCAGAAATTCACATTCGTTTTTGCTACCTCTTGAATATTTACTATAAAGTAAACGAGTGAAAATTTTTTCAGAAAAAGATTTACAGACATAAGACGAGATAGACTGTACGGAATCAATCAATCCAGAGCGGAAAATTAGTTTCATAGCATTTTCTGTAATGAAGTCATGTACTTGTTCAAAATGAATTCATTATTATCATTATGTTTATTTTATCATATCCATATGCATCGTTATTTTATTTCAAAATACAGAGACTGAGGTTTGTTACAATTGGGGCCAAAGTTCCATAATTATTTACTACAATTAGACGGATAGTTGTGTCTGTTGAGAACTGGTAAATTTAATACGAAATGTTATGAATCATTCCATTATGAAATCTGTCATATTCATCTTCATTCGCAAATGTCCAACATGAAACCGGATGATCTGAATCCATTACTATCAGATTTGATTATATCTTGAGTAATTACCTGGAATCACATCAATTGTTTTGACATAAAATAAGTTCTGAAAATGAGAATATACAGGGTGTTTTTAATATGGATACGAAATGTTTCTATGAACATATATCCGGAGTTTTTGAGACACAGAGCGTTGAAGTTGAAAACATAACGGTATTTATGAAAATCATAAATATCTTTGAACAGATTTGATTGACATTTGGTACAGTTACAAGGCGCTTATGTAGCTCTAACTTGATTGGGATCAGTTGGTCCAGTGGCATCTCAGGGGACTAATTGAAAAATGAGGTGGATGTTCAAATTTCGCGGGCTTCGTATATTCCATTAGGAATTTTTCATTTTTTTGTGTTGGTACACTCGTCTCGAATATATGTTCACAGTTTTAGTTATTTAGCATGTTTAGTTTATTGGTGAGATGTATGAAAGTAAGAAGTGTTTTGCGTGTTTTCGGCAATTTTCTGCTATCAAAAAAATGGATCAAGGAGTTTGCATCAAATTTTATGTTAAAAATGGAATTTAGTTCTTAAAAATACCTGAAATGTTGACAGTGACATACGGTGATTATACTCTGAGTCAGAAAAATGTTTACGAATGGTATAAGCTTTTCATAGAAGGTCGTGAAATGTGAAATACAACGTTCGCTCTAAATGTCTCAGAACATCAGCAATCGATGAAAATGTTGAGGAAGTGGAGGAAGTTGAGGAAGTGGAGAATTGTTGATGTTCTTTTTTTACGTCACATAAATGGACTATATTATATCTGCCAATGTCCTCTGTCTCATAAAACAAAATGTAGGGTGTCTCCAGAGGCTCCAATAGATTCAATACATCGCCAGAACACTTAGTGACATGACTATCGTCAAACGTAAACCAGTCCATTTCGTCTTTGACCAAGGCGTAATAATGACCTAATTCAACGCCAGAACCACAGTGAACAATGACTGTATGAATATTATAATAACTGTCTACTAGATTGAAGTGTTCATCTATTTCGAACCTTCGCAAGAGTTTGGTGCTTACGTCAGAGGTTGAATCATGTTTGAAAATCATTAGTTTCATTATTAGAATAAATGGTGTCTCAGTTATACTTGTTTCCTTATAACAGTCAGTTAGTTTGGCGCATGTTTGACAATACAGTCGATCATCACATGTTAAAAGTTCCATTTTCAGATGATTTAACAATAAGCTTTGTTCGGACTGGTTATTAGTCATATTAGGAAATGCTTGTTGAAATTCCAGAAATTCACATTCGTTTAATCACAATTAGAGAAGTTGCTGAGGATGTAGGTATATGCAGACTCATGCCTTTCAAGTTTTTTGTGAAATTCGGGCATGAAGCGTGTTACAGCGAAGTTTGTTTGAAAATTGTTGAATTTGATACGAAAAAACGTCGCATGAACATCGCTCAGGAATTTTGAATAACGTCAATGACCCGTCATTGGGTCATAACTGTTACAGAATCATGGGTATATGGTTAGGGAATCGAAACCAAACTCCAATCGTCACGATGGAAGAGCCCAGCAGAGTCAAGACCAAAAAAAGCATCCAAAGTTTCATCGAATATCAAGATTTGGCTCACTGTTTTCTCCGATTACCATGGCGTAGTACATCAGTGCACATGGTCGAATGGTCAATAAGGAGTATTACTTTGAAGTTAGGCTTCGCCTGCGAGAAGGGATACAAAGAAAACGTCGGGCATTGTGGAAGAACAATTCATGGCTTCTGCTTCACGTTAATGCACCTAATCACATTGATTATTCGTTATTTTTCGGCTGATAACACCGTAATCATGTCTCAGCCACTGTATTTACCAGATTCAGCCCCCTGCGTATTTGTTCTGTTCCTAAGATGGAAGAGATAACCGGAGGACGGCGGATTCCGATGATTGAGGAGATGAAATCCAAATCGCTGAGGAAACTTCAGGACATACCAAAAAGTGCATATCAGAACTGCTCCGAGGTTTGGAAAAAACCCTGGCACAAGTGTATTATATCTAGGGGGGACTATAGGAAGGGGACTAAACATATGTTTTTTAGAAAAACGAAAATCCAACAAATTTTTTGATAAGAAAGCGTATATGTTTTCTGCTGTGGTGCCAATTAAGACGCCACTACAATCTAGTTGACCTACGGCACCTACGGACTATAAGCAATTGGAAGGAGCGGTGGCTTGGAAAGAAAGTAGGAGAAATATACTGAGTAGAAGCAAGATCCTCCAAAGCGAGAGACACTGGTTGGTTATATCAACCTTAGAGAAACAAACCAGTTCAGCCAAAATTGCAGATGAGCTGAAAATGACCCTTCTTGGTGACTAAAAATATACATTCAATTCTAAGGACAAATATCATCAGTTGCCACATTAAAAGACTGATTCCCTTCGATGATAATGATCCTCTCAAACAGTTACAGAACAATAAAGCAAAGACATTAAAAAAGACTTAGTATTTTGAAGAGAGAGGCAGTATCACGCTATTGAATGTTGCATTCCACACTGGGAATAAGTAATTTGAAAACAGATGTAAGCGAATTATTCTGCAGTCAGCAGCAACTGTATGAAACAACACTCATAATGCATATACCAGAAAGTTCCTTCTGTTACATAGTGAATGAAGTCGAAGACGAGTTACGAGACAAAATGAAGATTAAATCATCTAACTAAAGGAACAATTTAACAATTAGGATTTGCTGTGGAGATACATTGTGGAATAACTGAATGAATTAAAAGTATGATTGAAGATGAACTGAACTCTGGAACTCTGGGTTATTGATGAAGTTGTTGGTTGAGTGACACAAGGGTAACATAATTCAAAAAATGAGCATAAAAATCAAATATAGTTGTTGGAATACATAGTGCCTAAATATTGATGTGTCAAATCCGATAGAGATAGGTAAGGTTAGCTAGTTTGATTTCCTGGTTTGATCTGTTTTGAAAGCTGATTTCACTACTTTCATCTCACCAAAAAACAGAATACATTTTCCAGTATGTTACATACACTATTTCCAAAAAATATTCAATTGATTTGTTTTTCTAAAATCATTCGCAGTTCCTGTAAAATGGATGGCCCCAGAATCTTTAGCTGACCACATTTATACTACAAAGTCAGATGTTTGGAGCTTTGGTGTTTTGGTTTGGGAACTAGTGACTTTGGGTGCAACTCCTTATCCCGGAATCGCCGTTCAGAATCTGTACCACCTCCTGCGTCAGGGTTATCGGATGGAAAGACCCAATAACTGCTCGCCAGCATTGTAAGTAAAGTTGTCGAATCCACTTTGAGTATATCTTGTAATTATTTTCAATGATGATGAATATCAATAATATATTACTGAAGAAAATATCATTGAATGTATTTTATTCAGTGAACAAATNGCAGGCCAACCTCGAACCGGATGCACATCCAGGCATCTACCCACCTGAATCTGCATTTTGAACCATTCATCACTACCATACTCTGCCTTGTTCATGTGGTCGCGGTCCGACCTCACCCTCAGAGTCACTCTATATGCTATATTCGGGCGAATCACTCCTTCTATATTCATAGGCGTTCCAAAAGGCTCGATGAATGTCTATTTTCTGAAGAACCGAACTCAGCTGCGATATCTTTGTGCGGGTCAAGGAAGCATCTCCATTTTGGGGGATTTGTCTTCTAGCTTAATGTTCAGTGTTGAGCTCCATAGAGAAGATCTGAGTTTCTCTCGATTATGCCATACCAGGCATTTGTTAATCGGAGTTTGGACAACAAATATTTCCTTTTCGCGTTTTCTCTAACTAAATTAGTGCCATCGACTCCCGAAAACTCCCAAAAAACGTCTCGTTGAGACCATGGGAAAAGGGCTTCGAATGACAGATTTGAAAGTTGATTTGAAACCCATCTCAAGCTCACGAAAACCATCGAGTCTTTGGTATGTTATTCCCTTGAAATACCAGTTCGTTATGGGAAACGCTTTTTTCCGACTCCTGCCGGAGACTCCGAATAGTGTTGAAACTATGGGAATCTTCCAAAGAAAGGAAGGAAACAATCAATTTCAATTTTCAATTTTTCAATTTCCAGACTAAGATGTGTAGATCATGCAAAAGAGCAACTTTCAGATACGAACATTTATGAAAACAGCTTTTACTTTCAGTTTGTACCTGAAAGATACTTCTTTGCATGATGTTTACATCTTTGTATAGAGTTAATTTCTGAATTGATTGCTTCATTCCTTTCTTTGAAACATTCTCAGATTTTTTGTTTCACGATGGATGAGTAGAAAGCCAAAACCTTTATTCCTCATGAATCATATTTTGATGATGAACACATAAAAAAAAATATTATCTTTATAATGAACATTTTACATGAATTTCTGATTTTGCTTTCAGAAAATTCCCCTAAAGAGTCTCCAACTTCCGACATCAGTCCATTGAACTACCTGTCAAGAACCCAATCTTACGAGAAATGTGGTTCAATAGAGAAGGCATTGGAGGCAGAACTACAAAAAATCACTAATACACAGAATACCACCCAGGGATATGAGACTCCTGTCAAAGTTCCAAGGAAAGTGAAAACACCAAGCAATGAGAATCCAGAAGAATATACTGATATGTGCGGAAAATCATAGCTCGATTATAACTAGATGCAAATATGATTGGCATCAGCTTTGGGATTTGGAGAAGTGAAACACAGTTGTGGAAATCCTCAAGGTCAACAAGGGAAGAAGGATTAATATATTTTCCTGACCAAGAGATGAGATATCATTTGAAAGTATATCATTCAGCTTTTTGCTATAACCAACTCCATGCATATGTTTTTTGAACTATATATTTGTTTAAAAAAATCAAAAATCGATGATAGCTACAAAGTCATTTTTCAGTAATGTTTGTAATAAATAGTAATGATGTGAAACTATATAAATAAATTTATTCAAATTGTTTCTTTGACTTGCTTAATGTATTATAGGATTTCAGATGTTGAATTTGAAAAGTTTAGAAGTTCATTTATTATTGTAAATGGAACCAGGTGAATATATTCTTTCAAAATATTGATGAGAATGATGATGATCACTGAATTTATGAACAGTTTGACTAAAAATTCAACTGATTAGCAAAACAAAATATAATTACTGATATATCTAGGGTTATGATTCAACATCTGTTAGAAGCGGTGGATTATTTATATCATCTCATATTCATAACAATTGCCACATATGTAGGCTATACTGGGATTGATGAGAATTTGTAGATCTAAAATGTTATATATTCACTTTCCCATAGACCCCTATTTGGATTCACTTGTCAAAAGGGAGGCGATATTCCACGTAGTTGTTTTTTCATATAACCTCCTAATCACTAATCCGATTGCAAAATTTCCATAATTTCTATGAATGTTATAGCTTGTTCTGTCACATTACAAAAATGTGAATAAGTATGATGAAAATTATGATCGAAATAGGATGCGTTCTTAGATCATTGACAATCAGTATGACAAATTCCAATACATTCAAATGATTTTGAAATGAAGAATACTTTCATACTCTACTCGTTTGATTCACAATTGTCAACCCAAAGTCGTTTCATCTCAAGCCAGTCAAATTTCAGTATCGTGTACACTGGATGATGATAATAAGATAGGATCATAATCAATTTTTCAGCCTATTCGCAAAAAGGGCGAATAGGCTTCCTGAAAAAAGATTATCAGCAAGTGGCCGTCGATGGATATATCTCTGATACGTTCACCATCAACGCTGGTGTTCCTCAAGGATCCAGTGTGTCTCCAACCCTCATTTTATTGTATATCAACAACTCATTGGAAAAATCAAGAATTTTATATATTGCTTTGCTGACGACATACACTTGTCTCATTACATTTTGATTCCAGGACATCGGCTGCAGATGCATATCTTCATCAGTAGCAGGAGGTTGAATATCTTAATAAGGATCTAGATGTAATTTCGAATTGAGGTGAAAGTAACCAGGTTCAGTTCAGTGCCACAAAAACCCAGGCATCGATTTTCTCCAAAAAATCAATATCTCCGATCCGGATATAATAATGTCAGGTCAGACAATTCTGCCTTCTGCTTTTATGAATTTGTTGGAGGTTGAAATTGACACCAATATGTCTTGGCACAATCATGTCGCTAGAATTGCAAGGGTTTCTTCTCAAAAGTTTGGAACACTGTTTCGAACCAGAAAACTGTACACACTTCAGCAACTTTGGATGCTTTATAAAGCTCTGATCAGACCTTCCTTGGAGTATTGTTCTCATGTATGGAGCTCTGCCCCCAAACATACCCTGAAACTGCAGGAAGTGAACATTTTGATATTCAGTTAGGAAGTAATCTATACAAACTATTTCTAAATTGATTTAGGGTAGAAAAAAATAAATGCATAGAGTATTTATTGACACTTTGGCACATAGAGGTTACTGGACTGTAGAAATGGTGCTGAGAATTGGGTACATTGATGTGGAATGTGATATTTGATCTGGATGTATATCGAGGGACATTAAAATTAATCTGGTACAATAGAGTTGACCAGTTTATAGATAAAAATGAGATGTTCAATTTCTCGTCTTTTTCTCAATGTTAAAAAATTAATTTCATTAAGACAAATCTATCCATAATTTCTTACCGGATAGTTTCCATGTTTCAATATATGGTTCTTCATGCATAGCAAATCCTGAAGACCAGTATTCAGAGTCAGTTCGCCTTTCGTAAACTTCAAAACTTCAACCAACCCACATATCGTTTTTATCACTAGTGAAAATAAGTTACCATTTTCTGAGATATTGTGGTCTTTTACGTTATAACTATTTTGCTGGATATCCTTTTTTCAGATTTGTGATTTTCTCAGACCATCAGTAGACTAATTTTTTCTTTTTCTTTGACATTGCGCGAAGAAAATTTCCTCTAAAGTATGTGAATCTTTTTGAGCATCTGGATTCATGTCTTTCAATGATAGCTACAGTTTTTTTTGTGACTTCATTCATTTGCTATTTTCTATTTCATAGCTTTTCCTCCCATTTTCAGAGATGTTGAGACAATATGATGTTGATTACGTAGATATTTTCTCTCGTGGAATTCACAATTAGTAATTGAGTTCGATATACTCAGAAGACTATTATCAAATCTGGAGTTAATGCAATATAGTTTTTTACCATTATCTCCAACAAGTAAATATGTTGACGATGTGGAGTTTTGCCTTTGAAGTCGCCAGCTATGAATACCTTCGCATTACTTAGCACCACCCGTCCTTAGATTTTCTAGAATCATCACGGGGAATAACAACTGTATATTATTGTTGAAACCAGAAGTCAGTGCTTAAAATGGTTTTCGTTATTGCAAAAGCACTAGACGGCTCTTGTTGATGACAATTTTGAGAGCCTCTATTTTCACATGTGTCCTTCAGTACTTCCGGTTTGTTGTAAACTTTATGTGGAGTTCAATAGTATATTCACCTGCTTGGTTTGGTATATTTAGTTCAATTCCCTGTCACTTCACTGCCAACCCTTCCATCCTTCTTAAATACATCTATTTTAATTGATGCATTTACTTTTATTACTCTGAGGATTGTCAGTTTCTACCTGTTGAGAGAATGCTAATGGTTTACCCTTCTAGTGATCTAGCTAGGTGCAAAATTCAAAGACACTCGTTATGCCAATGAAAGCATGAACACACACATTTTCGGCATTTTTTTTCATACTTTGGAACTATGAAATTCAAAGATGAAGATATATTGCAATGGTAGATTGAATATTAAGAAGTGATTCGATATCCCATATTGATTGAATACCAATATGTAGTAGTAAAAAACCATGGAAATGTCTCATGCTGGCTAAAATCTTCTACTGATGAATGCACCAGAAATGGATGCAATTCCTCAATGGAAAAAATGTTGATTTGAAATCTCAACGAAATATAAGGATCAACATTTTTGTAGGTAGTTAGCTGCACTCACAACATTAATAAACCTGAGAATCACACCCGAAACTGTTCTAGATATGAATTATATCCATATGTTAGTCCTAAATCAGACGAAGAGTTACGAAATAAATGATGTGGGACGAAACCAGGAGCAGGTTAGCTCCTGATGTGTCTCGAGAGACAGTATCTTTATTCTGATGTAGAAAAAAAAGTGTTTTTGAAAGAAGAAATCAGGAGAGTTGGAAATAATATGACAATGAATGAGGCAAATTACTTTTTAGAAATGTTTTATGTCCTACTCACAAATCTATGTCTCACATGAAAAATACCATCCACAATCTGTACAATCTGAACATATGTCAGGAGTTGATTCGTTTCTGAGACACAGGGCGTTAAAGTTCAAAAACAAACGGTATTCATAAAATATCATAAAACCTTACACCGATTTGGTTGAAATTTGCTACAGTTATTTGAAGTAATAAGGCGCTTATTTAGCCCTAACTAGATTGGAATCATTATATCCAATGGAGTCTCAGTGGGCACCACAGCCTGTTGGTTGCGGAAGACCAAAAACTGTAACAACGCCTGAACTAGAAGAAGATACACTTGATGTGATAAAAGGATATCCTTCAAATAGTACCAGGAAGACTGCACTGCAGCTAGAAGTCAGCTTACAAACCGTATGGACTGTTCTGAAAAGAAACCTCTTATACCCATATCACCTACTGCGGGTATTTTATTGACGGACGAAGCACATTTTTCACAAGATGCTATCATGAACTTTCACAATGACCATTTTTTGGGCGACGAAAATCCCCACGTTATTAAAGAAAGTCATTGTCAGCAAACATTTTCGCTGAACGTTTGGGTGGGAATTGTTGTTGACTACCTAATTGACCTATTTTTCCTACTGGCAAGATTAGCAGATGGATCCTACACGGACTTTCTGCGAGATCATTCACCCATTCTGTCAGAAGAAGTGCTGGTACTTGTAAGAGGCAACATGTGATTTATGCACGAATTAGCTCCAGCTCAGTCAAGTGTCCTTGTCCGTCAGCATTTCGACACCACCTACCATATAGTCTAATCAACAAGTTCAAAAACATGAAAAATAGAGATAAAGGTCCAAAAATTATGAGCGATAGCTCATTCGTTCGGAATCACCTCTAGAAAAATGTTTTTGAAGGATTTTGGTGCAGGTAAAAAATTGAAATTTTGATAACAAATAGGCGATTGTGGCGTCAATCGTAGTAAAATGTTGTTTTAAAAATATATTTTTCCATTACATCACATTCACTTCAATAATTGAATAGAACTGGCCGATACTTGATGAAAATCCATATTAAAACTAATTAATACAGTTTATTGTATGATTTTCACTAAAAAGGGTTTAACAAAAACGGCGACACGTGTTTCGGTATACGATGGCTTCCTCAAGCGTAAACTGAAAGTTTTTTCTGAATTACAACATATTACCTACTTGTATGCCTACTTACTAATAAATGAATTAACCTGAAAAGTTCAGGTATGAATTCATTAATGATATGAATAATTTTTCGAAATTACCGTAAATATACTCAACTATTTTTTAATACTGGTCAATTATTCAGTTCAGTTTGATCGTACATAAAATATTGAGAGTTTTTGATTTGTTCATTTCCATACTCTCCAACAGGTTAAGTTTCGAACCTTCCTTCTGGAAATGGAGAGGCTTGAATTCATGGTTGAATTCGTGTCCCTTTGTGATCAAATCCACATATGTGGAATTTAGTTTCCCATTCTGGAAACTATTTCTGTGTTCCTTGATGCGGAATTTGAATGTTCTTTCAGTTTGACCTATATAAAACATTGGACATGACCCATATGATAATTTATACACTATGGATTTTTCGGAAACTCAACTTTTATCTTTGTTATTCTTGAGTGCATGCCTAAGTTGTTGACTTTGAAATCAATATT